GGGTTGACCATCTTATCAGTTTATTATTGTAGATTTACCCAAAGCTGAGCATGTTGTGAGGGGTATGGGGTGGGGTTGGGTTAGAAGGGACGAGGTAATGAATTGAATCGAGCCCCTATGTATCAACTGTGGAATTGATCACTTATATTGATCATCCGTGTTCAGATATGTATACTGATTGTGGCACTTACATGACCTAATTGTGTTGCAAGTGCGGTGAAACTCCCACTACAACTAAACTGAAGATGTGCAAACATTTGCTCTGGCGTTGTGCTTGTTGTTTCCGTCTTCTTTATAAATTTTTTTTTCCTTTGGACCAAGTACTTTGCCTTCGAAATGACCTAATTGGGTCTTAAAGTAGCAAAGGCGTTAAACGTATTCAAAAGTTGACATAATTAAAGGACCAGTGAATGGCCGTGGTGTAGTGGTTTGGTGCTTTGCTGTAGTATGCAGGAGACCAGAGCTCGAATCCTGAGTGGGGAGAATCTTTATTGAGCATTTCGGCCTCTCTGCTGGGATGTATCCTTCTCAGCCTGGTTGACCTTGACAGATAGGTAGGAAGCCTGTCTCTTAATCCTAAATTATCTAAGTTGTGTCAATAAGGGTGTAAAAATACCCACATTGAAAGAAGGACCTTTGAGTGAGTGGGTGGTACAAAGTCTCTGCATTCCTATTGGTTGTTGTGTAGCGTGTCTGGGCAGGTGATTGGTTACTGCATTCCATCGTGTGTGGCTGTGTGTTTGACTGAAAGAAAGGAAGAAAGAAAGAAACGGAAAGAAGAATACCCCACTTGTTTATTCCCATGAGGAAATTTTGGATACAGTGGCGTGTTATACTCATATTATCGCAATTCACCTTAAACCAAACACGGTTGATCGGAAAACTGCGGTAAACTGAAGCGAAATAAAATCCCCGTTTCCCCCCCCCCCCATTCTTTTGTGAGTAATCTCTCTATACTGAAAACGCGGCTAAACAGAAGAACATCTGTGAGTCCCGCAGACTTCGGTTTAAGTGGATTCTGCGGTGTTACTTTACATTGTACAGTACATTTTAAGTACTTCTATTGCATACGGAAGATAACTAACAGGTTACAAGATGCTTCATAACACATACCTAACATTAGTAACCTACCTAATGGACCACAAACAGTCTCACAAACACTCCACTCCGGGTTTTTTCGGCAATGACTCCATTCTTCCTTTGACTTTTTCCATCGGCAATTCCTTTCTATCACCTGTGTGAGGGGCGTCCAATAAGTCTTTATGCGAGGGCTGTTCTATAAGTCTTTACGCGAGGGCAGTTCTATAAGTCTTTATGCGAGGACTGTTCTATAAGTCTTTACGCGAGGGCAGTTCTATAAAAGTCTTTATGCGAGGACTGTTCTATAAGTCTTTATGCGAGGACTGTTCTATAAAAGTCTTTATGCGAGGGCTGTTCGTTAAAAGTCTTTATGCGAGGGCTGTTCTATAAAAGTCTTTATGCGAGGGCTGTTCTATAAAAATCTTTATGCGAGGACTGTCTATAAAAGTCTTTATGCGAGGGCTGTTCTATAAAAATCTTTATGCGAGGACTGTTCTATAAAATCTTTATGCGAGGGCAGTTCTATAAGTCTTTATGCGAGGGCAGTTCTATAAGTCTTTATGCGCGGGCTGTTCTATAAGTCTTTATGCGAGGGCTGTTCTAAGTCTTTATGCGAGGGTAGTTCTATAAGTCTTTGCAGTTCTATAAGTCTTTATGCAAGGGCTGTTCTATAAGTCTTTATGTGAGGGTTGTTCTGTAAGTCTTTATGGGAGGGCTGTTCTATAAGTCTTTACCCTGATTATGAAGGAATTATCATAAAACAAGACGATAATGCTCTGTGTATGTGAGTTTGTCTGAGAGCTCACTCACAACACTATCACCGGAGCGCCCAGTTTTGATGTGATAGTAAATGAGATTTTGGACCAAGTTTCTGAGACGGGAATTTCTTCCTCTGTTGGTGCTCAGTTTTGCTTCTTCGAAGTGTTGTGTGAGTGCGGGTGGGAGTTTGTATTTTATCAATTGTTGTTTTTTTTTAGTCTGAAGATGTCCTGACTTTGTGCGCTCACACTTTGACTGTGATGAAGTTATTGTTATGTGAAGACTTGAGTGTTTCATTTGTAAGAGAATATTTGCATTATAATAACTATTATTACTTTTATTGATGTAATGATGCTTCATAAATTAAATCTTTTTTTTTTTTTGCACACTAAGATGTATACTGTATACATACTTTTGTTTGCACAAGTTTGTATACATTTGTTTGCACAAGTTTGTTGAAAAAAGTCATGATTCCATATTTTGTGAGATCCAAGTGTTTTGTATGGGTGTGTGTGTTCTTGAACTTTTGTACACGCGCTCTTATTTTGTTACATTTGTATATATATATATATATTTCCAGTATATTATATCATGTAGCCTAAACTTTTGTTGGGGAAAATGTGTGTGTTTGGGGGGGGGGGGGGGGGGAGGTAGGTATATGTTGCAGTACCGTCTTGTTATAGAGTACATGGCTGTTTTTTTTAGGTAACTACTCAATGTGTATGTGTGTGTTTTTATGTGTGTGTGTGAAGGAGGGGGGGGGGGGGGTTATATGTTGAAGTGTCCCTCTATTGTGGAGAGTACATGACTAAATGCTGTAGTTTACCACTTAGCGGGTGAGTGGTTGGCGGGTGCTCTGGTGTGGTTTGCTTCTCTTTTCCTATCAAACATCTATCATCCTCATCTCCCCTTCTTCTTTTTTATGTTTGTTACTCTCTTGTAACACCTCTTATCTTCTGGCGCTCATGTGACCATATCCAGTTGCGAGTGCCATATAATAACCTCTACTAAAACTAAACTAAAAAGAGTACACGACTAAATGCTGTAGTTTACCACTTTGTGTGTGTGCTGGTGACTGAACTTGTCCAAGTTGGAACAAATGTGTTACATGATGTCATGTATTGTTGTTACCACTGTTGCTGTTACTCTGTCCTTGGACTTGAACTTAAAGTCATCTGTCCATCAGGTAAACGTCTCTACTGGGAGATAGACTACATTTTTTGCTCGATCTGCATGTAACTTACACTTGCACTAGTTGCCGGTACTCTACTCTGTACTCTGCTGTGCTGGGAAAAGTAATAATTTATGATGTGTATACTTCATGCATTGTAGTATTCTGCTGTCATGTTTAAAAATACAGTAAGGAGCAGTTTTGATAATTTTGCTGGAGAGCCAAAAAACGGATTGATGTAACGACCCCCACCGTTTGTTTTAACCCAATTTGTACTCCCTGGGGTCATTTTGTACCCCCGGGGTTGTATTTTTAACATTTTAGAATACTTCTCGTACGAAGATCTCTTTGAATCTTTCAGTATTTCTCATAAAATCATTTTGAAAGATTGCTATTGCTATGCAAAGCATACAGATCGGATTAACGAGTAAATCTCCTCTTTGGAAAGTGGTGGCAGAGAGTTCCCCACGTCGTATGGATACGATAGTAAAACATGACGTACGGATAGGGTTAAAGATAATAATGAAGTTATTATTATAAATTAAAATTGTATTCTTACATATTTACAAAGAGTTTGTTTTCTTGGTAACAACATATAGGGTTTTTTGGGGGGCTCTCCTGTAAAATTGTAAAAACGGCATTTTATTGTACAGGTACATTATACTTCTAAGAATAACAGCAGTAGTACACACTTCATTTGGTATGAGAGGGAGGACGATTGTTAGAGTCTGAGTGAGAGTTTTATGGCACTTGCAGCACAAATAGGTCGTATAATATAAATGCCAATGATTAGAGGTGATAGTAGCCTGCTACTGCTAGAGAGTAACATGAAGAAAAGGAAGAGAGATATAAGGATGATAGATGTTTGATGGGAAAGGAGGAGAGATATAAGGATAGTAAATGTTTGAAAGAAAGGAGGAGAGATAAGGATGATAGATGTTTGATGGGAAAGAAGGAGAGATAAGGATGCTAGATGTTTGATAAGAACGGAGGAGAGATAATAAGGATGATAGATGTTTGATGGGAAAGAAGGAGCAAGCCATCCGCAAGGATGGTTGTGTGAGAGGGTAAGTAGTAAGCGTGTGAGTGAGTTTATGACTTCACTGTGAGTGAGTGTACGTGTACGACAGTTCACTCTCTTCATTGTGAGTTTATGACACTATTCACTGTGAGAGTTTTAATGATTGTGTGTGTGTGTATAAGTGTGTGTGTTTGTTTGTGCACGCAGTGTGTAAGTAAGAGTGTTTGAGTTGAGTATATATAATCTATATATGTATATTACTATGACACAATTCACTCATCTCTATGAAAGTTGTTAGAATTGTGTGTGTGTGTGTGTGTGTGTGAATACACATAGTGTCATATTATGAAAAGAAGTTTTTCCTTCATATTTTTGTGACGTTACTATGATGCTCCCTGTGTTCACTGATGATAAAGTGTAGGCCAGCCCAACAGCAGGGATGAAAAGACTCACTTTTCTCTATAGCATACAGACCCAAGGTGGTCAGTGAATGTGGAGCACGTAGGGTAAACACTGTGATGTTATAATAACGATTATAAATGGATGATACGT